CCCCAAAACCCCAAAACCCCAAGAAGTAATAACTAGGTGGCTTAAAAATCGATGATTTGATTAATTATTAGGGAATACACAGAATTGCTTTAAGAAAAATTTAATTAGTCTGTTCAAGTTCATTCACCTGCTTACTTTGAATAATTAATTTCAGAAATAAATAGAGAAATTTAAACATGAAAAAGTAAGACCAGCTTAAACCAACACATAAGCCTAAAGAGTCCATGATGTCACTTAATCAAATTAATTCTAGCTTGGATCTAAGGTTTAACAATATTATTGATCATTCTCCTTTTCCGGGAGAGAAAAAGATCTAAATTATTGACTATTTTGACTCAAAAACTTATAGAGGGAATAGCGTGGAGACTGACTACAAAAATAATATGAGTACTGTTAAAATTTAGAAACTTATCTAGGCTATACATAATGACAGTTCAGTATTTATCAAAATTTTCAGAGAATGTGCTCCATCAATCAACACATAGCTTATGGCAGTCATTATCTCTTTGTTAATCTCACTTAAGCGGAAAAACTTCCTTAACTTTATTGTGAATAATGAGTCGCTGATAGAATAGAGAAATTATATATTTTAAGACTTAAAATCAGTAGTTTCACTCCTTGGATTGAATAACACCTTTACAACTGGAAGGGTAGAGATTCGAAGAATATTTAATGAGGGGGCTTCTTATCTTGTTAAAGCATAAGACTACAATAGTTTCAATGCATTGATTAAACATTCCTCAAGCAGATATTTCTATCTGCATATTAAATATGAGCATATATATGATCTCCTTCAGTAGTAAGATTTCGAAATGATTAAGTTGATGCTTTGGAATAAAATAATTGTAATGTACTAGAAGAATGAAGTTGAGAAAAAAGATAATATGTATGTCAAGAAAACTACTTAGGATTCTTTTTATATTGAAAATAACTAAAATGAATAAATGGAAAGTTTCGAGAAAATTTTCAAAGCATCAGACATAATCGAGCATATCCTGATGATGGTATCTAAGAAAAGAAACAATCAAACTCATACGAATGATAAACTTATATTAGTTATTAAGAACTTGCCAAATGATCTTGACTTTCAAAGAATAGTTAGAATCGCTTGGGATTACCATTAAAAGAATTTTTTGGATGTAATATTGTCATAGAGCGAGATCAATCTAGCAATTAAAAAGGAATTTACCTTGGAGTCCATAAACTTTTTCCTCTAGATTAATCAGCTTGACCAATGCTGCATGATAGTTCAAAATCATAAGAAATTCCTAAAAGAAAGAGAAAGCATGCTTATTGATTACTTAGTTTAGAGCTTCAAATACCCATCATTCTATGAATTCAAGATTTATTTGATCAAGTAGTTCTTTGAATACCTCAAATATAGATAGGTTGACGATCTGCTAAATATAATTGAGGGAAATCTAATAGGAATAAAAGCAAGCGCTCTTTTCACCTATAACTTAAATCCGATTAAAATTGGCATGAGTTTGTTCGATCTACTGGTTTAAATTGAAGGAAAGTTCAAAATCTCAAGTTTTAGAGTTGATAAGATTAACGGTTAGATAGAAGAATGCATCTAAAAAATTATTAGGGACATCTCAAACTCTGATGAGCTAAAGTATCTCCTAAAGCAAAGAGATTTACAAGGAAATGATAGTCTTTACTATATGTCTCTGCATAATGTCTACAGTATCTTGGATACAAAGTCAACAGATAGAATCATTTAAGATTTCTGGAAGAGTAACATTGACGTAAATGGTAATCTTCTTTCCACCTCTACAAGCTTTAGACTTGTAGAAGATACTTTAAACTAGAAAGAAATTGATATGGAGAACTTTGATATAATCAAGAAATTTAAGAACTCTAACTCCCTAAAGTCTCATCAATATCAGTATTAAGTATGGAAAAAATCAATGCAGATAAGATATTTTTTCGAAGCAGCCATGTTTCTGGCTATCGCCATCTTTTTCCAAATTTATATAAATAACTTCAATAGCAAAGTACACACTGTATCTAATGAAATGGATGAGATGGATCATAATCCAAATGCGACTTATGAAGAAAGAGTAAAAGTAGCAATGAGTTGGCGCAAAAATCTTAATGACTCTGGCGCCGATATTACTACAGCTATGTATGTCTCTATAATGATGTTCAGCTTCCCAATTAGAATGATTTAAACTTTCATATTTTCTAAATTTTCTAAAAGAAAATTCACCATACTTAAAGGGAATACTTTGATAGAGATGGGCTTCACAATTTGCATTTGCGTTTGGGTTTATAAGTTTGCTGCAGCTAACTCAGTATCTGGTGTGCCTGGGGAATTCGACAAAGATTTTAACAAGGTTCAATTGTTTGTTCACAATTCAGTGGAGGAGATAGGTGAAAATTCCTTCAGATTTGATATCCTTCTCGCCTTTCACACTGGATTTTTATGGTTAAAAGTATTGCTACTTTTGAAATTAACTAGATCATTTGGACCAATGTTAAAAATTATTGAGCATATGGTCCATGATTTCCTATATTTTTGTATAATCTGGGGTATTAATTTGGCATTTTTTGCTTTTCTGGGTATGCTTCTTTTCACAGAAATACATCTATTCAAAAGTATAGATGAAACTTTGATCATGCTCGTGTAGAGTTCCTTAGGACAATGGGACCTCAGTATTTACGACAATCTTTCTCTTGGAGCAATCTACGGGAAAATTTATCATTTAATTTTTCTGATAGTAAATCTTGTTATGCTTTTGAATTTAATGATTGCCATTCTCTCAACTACATTTTCAAACTTGCATTCGCTATAACTAGCCCTTTATTATGATGAGATCATTGAAGCAATACCATAATACAAATATGATAAGGTTTATGGTTCTTTGATATGTGCTATTCCACCTACAAACATATTAATGTTCCCATTTACTTTAATATATTTTTGCATAACTGACAAAGATAAACTTACTCGGATAAACTCATTTTTGGTTAAAATAGCTTATTCTCCAAAAATACTAATCATAACCCCCTTCTTTATTGTTGGAAACTTAATCTCAATGCCTTTTGCATATATTTTTACACTTTTGCATTTAGTGAAAAATTTATTTAGCCACAAGTACAAAGATAAGCAATAATTACTCAAGTAAACTGCTATTTTCCTCACTCTAGGCCTTCCATTTTTGATCATTACATAGATCACTGACTTGCTAGTATTTATGAAGCACCTATTTTCGAGATAAAATGAAAGACTATCTTAGTTTTAAAAGCCTTAAATTTCTAAAAGATCTATAAAAGAGGCATTTTTAATAACTTAAAACTATGTATCTAAGAACATTAACATGGTTAAACAAGCAACTCTTGTTAAGGAACTTAGAGAAAAATTGAATATTGATCAGAATATAATATCTTTGATATATGGTGATTCAGCATAGCTTTTTGAAAATACTGGAAAACTTAAGGAAAACCCACTGTAACATCACATTTCTTAGAGTAAAGATGAGCTTTTAAGGAATCTAAAGATATTTAATGCAATAAAATGCGTGATAAAAAACTGTACTAACGAACTAAATGAGACAAATGTACTCCTAATGCAAACCATTTTAAAGGAAGTATCCTAAAAGATGAAACTAGAAAATCTTAATCATCCTTTGATAAAACAGATAAGTAGTTTAAACACTACTCCTAAAAATAACTCTGGCAAGTTAAATAAAGTATTAGTCATTTACCCTATAACTGAAAAAAAGAGAAAGAATCAAAACGATTACAAGAAAACTAAGAAAAATTTATTCCTTGAATTTGCTTTTGTTAATCCTAGAAGAATCGTTGAATCTTTAAACTCTGAATAGGAAAGCATGGCTTTTGAAAATTAAAGACTTCTCACAAATTTGACCATTATATCTGAGTAAATATTGCAGAATCAAAGAGCAACTAGTCCCTCTACAATGTCATCAATAGATTCAGCCAAAATGAAGAATAGACCACCAGTAAGAAAATTAATCACCAAGAAAGATACGACTCCTTTAATTAAATTAACTAAAAATAATGTTAGCGATAGAAGCAATTGGGAAGATTTATACAGCTTGTACAGAGATGAATCCAAAATTGATTTTTGATCTCCAGATTACCACCAATTTAATAATAATATAGAAAATATAAGCTGTAATGCACCTATAATTTTCAAATTTGATAATTTCTTTAATACCAACTGAAATTTGATTATTTTAAGAAACTTATTTAACTACCTTAAGGGGTTTTGGGGTTTTGGGGG